GAATATTGCGTAATATTGTGTAGGGTATGAGTTTTATTGGTTACCACTTACTTATCCGGTTATTATAATTACAACATTTTGGTTATTAAATAAAAACTATAGTATTGGTTTTAAAATAATTGGAGTTTACTCCTTTAGAATCGATTTACATATATAGGCCCGGGGTATGAAAATTATGGGGACCAAAATCGTACTAGCATGTCACACGAAATGCGTTATGCGCCTGATTGGCTCCTGATTGCGTGATGCGTGCGCGCGCCAATCAGGAGCCAACGCGCGGCCGCGTTATCGCAGGTGACGCCGGGCTGCTGCGCCNGCGTCAGACGCATGCTCCATTGCCTAATTCAATTAAACAAAACAGGAGCCCAAGAGCCTTCGGGGTCCTTAATAAGATTCTTTAATACAAACAGTTGTGGAAAATGAAACAATTTCTCTCTTAACTTGTTTTATATTTGTTGATCACAGAGTTGTATGAACGAAGTCGCGGTCTATCTGATGTTATGTGGTAGATAGATAACTTTCACCTTAACCTCGTCCTCCTCCTCCATCATCTTCAGATATGAGGTCAAAATCTCGACTGCCCTGTATAATTGTTCCTTCAAACCAAACCGCATAACTGCTCGATATACCCGTGAAACAGATTGGTCATTGTAGTACGCTGATATTATATCCAGGAGAATGTTGCCCACTCTTCGGCGAATCTCTTATTCACCTTTTGCGATAACCAAGAACGGGAGGGTGTAGTACAAGGTCGCCAAAATACAGCCAAAATGAAATTGGTAGCGCCAAGCCAGCAAGCCTTGTCGCTTAAGACAATATTATAATTGTCATTTACAAAATCTACTTAAATTCTGAGGGCATACCAAAATATTTATTAACTTTTTTATAATACTAATTGAATTATTTAAATATGAGCTTCCTTTCATATCTAGCGCATATGCGAATATATAGGAACAATATTCGTTCTGAGGAAATGCGTAATATTGTGTAGGGTATGAGTTTTATTGGTTACCACTTACTTATCCGGATATTATAATTAAAACATTTTGGTTATTAAATCAAAACTATAGTATGTATTGGTTTTGAAATAATTTTATGACACAAAGTTTAACACAAGCGACAAATATTTAATAATAGTAATTAAAAAAATGTCAAAAGAACGTGAACAAAAATGTCAACAGAGCCCGAACACGTCACAAACAAAAAACTGTCACCTTGAGACTTGTTGGCGCAGTCCCAATTGAATTGGAATAATGGTCAAGCGTAAACGCAGCGTTGGGCGTTGCCCGTTGGACCGATGACTTGCGGCGATATGCTGGGAGAGATTGGATGCGGAAGGCGGAGGATCGTTCATTGTGGAGGACTATGGAAGAGGCCTACATCCAGCAGTGGAGAGATACAGGCTGATGATGTAACGGTCATTCTTAAAGCCCAAATACGCTATTGTAATGCAACAGAAATAAATAGCAGCTATGAATTCTAGCGGACTTTAGTACTTTGTGGATAAAAATCACTTGAACTACGCACCTGAAATCGCTTACGAGGCCTACAACCAGCAAGGAAGTTTGCGAATCAAGTTTACCCAGACAAATTTAAATTGAGTTTTAGCAACTGTAATTCCATCCGGCTTGGTACAAAGCCAGTCAAATAATAATTGAGTTTAGTAGGAGTGATGTGAACGATTTAGATTAAAATGGCGACCTCCTTTTTGGGAAATGAAACAAATTACAAAATAGAAACTTCGGTCTTTACAATTTATTTCGAAAACTATGTTTTGATGTCTGCCGTTTTATGTATTTGTATGTTTCTTAGTAAAAGTAAAAATACATTAAGTACTTATCATAAACATTTAATTAATTCAGTTCCGTTGCTGTACGTTGATTCCTTAAAAGAATGATTTTACATTCAACTCATCTATACAATAATGTCGTTACAAAGTAGATTCCTTCAAGAGTCGAGAAAGGCGTGTCATAATATGTCACATTTGTTAAACAAAAACGAGGCTGTATCAATTGGATACAGCTGTTCTAATAATCCCCTGAGAACATCTGGAATGTTTACTTCAAAACTAATATGACTTAAGTTCAGTAAAAAAATGGCCGAAACCATCAATACTCTTACACTTGAACTTAAGTCCTTTGAGGTTTTAAGAATCAAAAAGTCAAGCTCCTTTGGGAAATCAAATCTATATCCAGTTACTTGAGTACATTAAAATTATAATACATATTGCGGACACGTTGAAAATTCCATTAAGTCTCAGAGGCTCAGGGCAATTATTATCATTGACAAAAGCTTTTAAGACGTCATTCTTGCCTCAATTCTGCTTATTTTACTTGTTAATGTCAATTTTGTTGTGAACCGAAGTGGAACGGGTGAAAACGCCTCAGATCGTTCCGGGAACTTAATTAATTTATCAAGTGGATTTTCTTTAATCTTAACTTAAACATGTTTATAGTTTCTTCCCATTCACGAGGTAGTATCGATTTTTAATTGGACATCGGAAAATAATTTCAAGTTAGTCAAGACCAGATTTTCAATAAACTGATCCAATGTCTGATGTTTCAGAGGAAACGTATTTGTCAATTGAAAAACTTTTCGGTCTGTAGCGTTCGATTATATTCGGCGCCAGATTTTCAATCGATGTCCCTGCACCGGAACCTTAGTAGGTACCGCAATTTCCGACCTCAAGCCGCGAGTTCAAGTCAACATCTTTTATATTATGTCCTTCAAGGAAAATACTTTGCAGGAATATCTCGAATTCTAGTCGAAATTTGAAGTAACTGCCCAACTTGAATTTCTTGGAGACAATTTATTTGTACTTTCCCTGGATGAAGAAGTTCAATTTTGTTGTTGAATTGGTTTTAGTTTCTCAATGTATGGATCCTTATCTGAATAAAAATAAATACAAAAAATTACTCAATTACAAAATAGTTTGTATGTTCTTTTCTGTTGTTAATAATTTTGATTTGGGTAATGCTTAATTAATATCTTTTCTGTGGTTTCTTTTGAAAGTCAATGTTGTTCTACAAATAAAATAATATTATTGAATTTACGTTTTAAAAAATAAATGAGATTAATCTTTAAATTCAATATGTTTAGACATTGGACGGCAAATAGATATCATTAGTCTTAGTCGCTTTGTTTGATACTGATACTCCGGGGGTCTTGTACTTACAACACGACGACTTCAAAATTTTACATAATATAGTCAACCATAATAGATAAAACATTCGTTGATCTTCTCCTTGCGTCAATAATCGTCAATGATGAGGATGAGGTCGTGGCCTTCTTTAATAACTTTTTCCTGGATGTTCCTGCGTGAAGGAGTTTCGAGTTCTTTGGACACATTGCCCACAATAGAGGTGACGATTTAGAAAAGCTCTTGGTAACAGGCAAGGTATGCGAAGAAGGTCCAGAAGCAGAAGTACAATGCACTGATCGGACCATATACGCTCTACTCTCAACAGTCCACGATGCCATCCGCACAGCCGAGGATAGATAGGGCTGATACAGGAATTATAGGAATTATCCTGTATCAGTCCTACCTATCCTCCGCTTCTTCCAGAATAATGTATATTTATCATCGAATGGTAATATCTATGGTAATCCATTCGTTGATAAATAGACATTATTTTGGAATACTAGCTAGATATTAAAAATACCGAATACTACTCACCACAGTCTGTCAGAAATGTTGAGCATTGAGAACCATTTTGAAATTAGTGAGATATTAATACTTTTAACAGTACTCTATGAATACCTGAACATTTGGCATCGCAAAAATTTAAGTATACAATCAATTAATTGTAAAGTTGCGAAAAAGTATGAGCGCCAGAGCATCCTATAGTGATTTTAGTATTGAAACGAGCGGGACTTCCATTACCGCTACTTTTTTACTCTCGATAGATGAGCTCACGAAAAACTAGTAGGGGTAGAGGTAATTCAATACATTTGAATTTTTTATCAGATCCAATGAAGTTGGGGTCGGCAATCACATTGTTATGCCCATTGGCTCCACTAACGACTTTGGCCAAACTTGCCACTAAGCGCACACAATTGATTAATGTAATTTTTTTTTGCGGAAAACAAGAAGGCTTATTTTTAAATTAATCCTCTAAACTTAATAGATTAGATTAAAACATCGATTAGAAACTGTACAAAACAGACACAGGATACTAAGGATAACATTTAATATTAATTACACGTAGCTTTAAGCCGTTTGCGGTTTCATGATCAGGCTAATTTCATTAAGGCTTAATACGCAGATAATTTACAAGGCAGATAGGCTGTGAAATTTGTAGTTACGAAGGATTAAGGTGTTCAATGTAGAACACAATTACATTTTCCGCTATTTTGTGCTAGGATAGGAACATGGTAATAATCTATGTGCTAAATACCGCCACCAATCTTGCGATAGGAGGTCTAAGTCTGAATTCTATAGCATAATGACTGTCCCACCCTTCAGCTACCGGTTTACAAATGCACCTTGCCCCTTTGTGGTAGAGGTCATTCGTGAATGTTCAAACACATAAAATAGGTACCTAACTATTTGATGAGATTTTGGGGTGTGCCTTTACAACAATAGTCCACAGGACTTACAATTGTTAACTATACTTATGTTTAAGAAAACTGTGAAGAAATGTTTGTGCCAAATACTTAACGCAGCACAATGTGGGAGAGTGAGGTGCTTCCTCACTCTCCCACTACTACTATTGAAAGAATACACCAAAAATTACTAGTAGTTAAAAAAAACGTTGTCCGTGGAGTTTGTTGTTTCATTTGACTTTAGTATTATTTTCTTTGACATTCCACAAAATATTGACTAAATTTAGTTGAAAAATTGAAATAGATTTGAGTTTGAATTTTAACACGTGTCAAGTACATGTTTCCTTATAAAAAATGGTACTGAAATGGTTTTGAATGCTGGTTTAATCGTAACGCTCTTTATCTATTATGTGACAACTACTTTATACAATCATCCTCAATCCTCTTGTTCACAGGAATGGAATGATTACAAGCTGAAATGGAACCCTGACGACTACGGTGGTGTGGACACGTTGCATGTGCCTTCAGAACACATATGGCTGCCAGATATCGTGCTTTACAACAAGTGAGTACCATACAAGACATTCAGACATTTTTAATCAATACTCCTTTTTTATTTCTTTAAACTTAAAATACAGGCCTGGTGTAGCTTAAATATGTACATACACGTACAGGTAAAATACATACACGTCATGCCTCACAAGACGTCCTGGTGGTAGGACGTCTTGTGAGTCCGCACCATCATGCTTATTTCTGCCGTGAAGCAGTAATGCGTTTCGATTTGAAGGGTGGGACAGCCGTTCTAACTATACTTGAGACCTTAGAACTTATATCTCAAGGTGGGTGGCGCATTTACGTTGTGGATGTCTATGGGCTCCAGTAACCACTTAACACCAGCTGCGAATTCGTCCACACATCAGCAAAAAAAACCTTTTACAGGTACATATTATTTGTGATATGTATTGAAGTGTTGACTCATAAAAAAGGCTTCATCTGCCTAATATTGCACACGAGGCTTAATCCCTCATCTACTTGTAGCCAAATAGCTTCTATCAACCTCCTATTGTAAGGTCCACAATGGGAGTACGTGGTGTATTTAGCAACATGAATGAACAGGTATAATACGTTTTCTACAAAAAATTCTCAAAGGCCATGGCCTAAGTGATGATTTTAAAATATGAATAATACATTTCTGGTAATCATCTGGTTCTCAACCAAACTAATTAATATAAGTTATTTAGCCAAATATGAGTCAGCAAAATATGATTTACTGAAAGACAAAATATGGTTTAAATTAATTTACTACGGATAGCTTTAAGGAAGCGAAAAAATTTATCAAACTGATCAATTACCAATCCCAGTACAACTTCTAATGGACTTCTAAGAAGGCTAAAATGAAGCGGTAAAAAATTCCACAATTCTTTCTCCGTCGCAGCCTTGAGATCTTTATAAATTGGTGTCTGCAAAACATTAATCTCACTCAAGCGGGTAACCGTTTCTTTTCGAATCAATTTAACGAAGTTACGCGCGAATACCGGTGTTCCAGAAGTTTCCATACTATTTCCTATTTCTTTCAATGAGAGCTAACTTTCTTTTGCCAATAAACTCTCTTATAAGAGCTCTTATCTCTTCATTTCCGGTTCGCAGACAAAAATCCCATTATTCCACATTATCGGGCTCGGCGTGGAGACTTTATCTCTTCGGCAACGCGACCGCTAATACAAAAAGTCTGTAACTAATTCTAACCTACGTTTAATCTTTCGCATCGGTTATGTGTAAGAACGCTCTAGCTTCATTACTAAATTATTACTTTTATCGGTGACACTCAGATGATTCCGTATACATATTACGTGTGATTAAAAACGTGGTATGAGTATACCGCGTTTGGTCTCTTCACATCATTAATTTGATTGTTAATGATAAAAAATATAATCTAAGATCCGAGTCTCTAGTTTTAGATTCTGTGTTTGTTTAAATTACTGTCTTAATGACATTTTTTATTTATTGCTTAGATGTATGGAACAGTTCACGGTCCACCTGGCGTTAAGTGGTTACCGAAGCTTAGAGATACCAACAACGTAAATATCGCCAGCCGTTTTGAGACATGAGTTCTAAGTCTCAGTTTTACAGTCCAACGGCTGGCTCACCCTTCAAAACGAAACGCATTACTGAGTCACAGCAGAAATAGACAAGATGATGGTAATACTTCCCGTGAGGATACAAAACAGTTTTTTTTGCGGTTTTCATTTATATTACACGACATTATTCCTTCATCGCTGAAGTCATTCGTGAACATTTATTAAGTACCAGCTGACCCGGTAGACTTCGTAGTGCCTCAATCGATAAATAAAAGACATTTGTATAAAATAAACTTAAAACAAACAAAAGGAATCGGTCCGACGGGGGACACATCAAAGGGAAAACAAAATTGCTGTTTTTATTCAATTCCGAGCATTTTCATATTTATCTACCTTTTAAACTTTCCCTGGACTTCCACAAATAATTCGAGACCAAAATTAGCCAAATCGGTCCAGCCGTTCTCGAGTTTTAGCGAGACTAACGAACAGCAATTCATTTTTATATATATAGATGTAGTTCAATAGAAAAATTGGTGCCTCTGGATTTGAACACCTGTTCCGTCGCCATGTAGCGCTACTTCGCTAGTATCGCTCGATACGAATGCACCAGACGTCTTATCCTTTAATATGACGCATGACGACTACAAAAAGACAATTAACTTCTGATTCAAGCTTTAATACTTCGTCGTACTTGTATCGTTTTTACTTTCCTTACACAATTCTATGTGTTGATATTAAATTGTCACAGATGTATGGCACGCAGACAAATAGCAGAGATATAAAGAATTTGATAATACCTTTTGCGTTAACGAAAAATTTATGAAAGTTTCAGTTCATAAACTTGGTATATCTATTTAAAGTTCGACTAGTAGACGATGATAAATCGTGTTTTTTAGAAATTATATTTAAATACGAATTACATATTGATAAAATGATGAAATATCCCAAGATATTTAGGGGAGTGCTCTGAGGAATTGTTCGAGATGATACCGACATCTCGCTTTTACCATCGCACCGCCCGCCACCGGAGTAGAGTACATCCATACTACCTGGAGCCACTACGTTCATCCACAGTGCGTTTCCAGAGATCTTTTTTGCCACGTACCATCCGGCTATGGAATGAGCTCCCCTCCACGGTGTTTCCCGAGCGCTATGACATGTCCTTCTTCAAACGAGGCTTGTGGAGAGTATTAAGCGGTAGGCAGCGGCTTGGCTCTGCCCCTGGCATTGCTGATGTCCATGAGCGACGATAACCACTCACCATCAGATGGGCCGTTAGCTCGTCTGCCTATACGGCATTACAAAAAAAAGATAGTTTAGGCATTTTTAAGTGAACACGTGAGTTAAAAAGACACAAATAATATAAATAAACAATTCATTTTCTTAGTCTTAAACCTTAAACCAAATACTTATTGGCTTCGGGTGGCTTAACAGCGCCATCTGCTGAAATAGCTTTAGTGCTATTGTGTCTTTAAAGTAGTTAGTTGCTCTCAATTATGAAAATAGTATTATTATTCGCCAATAGATGTCGGGAAGATTCGTAAAGTTGATTATCGATAAAGTTGATTATTGAAAACACGAATAAAACAACATTTTCTGAAAATGAATCGTAGTTAGATCGATTTATCGCCCCCGAAATTCCCTGTGTATTAAATGTTTATAAAAATCGTTGGAGCCGTTTCCGAGATTCAGGTTATATATATATACAAGAATTGCTCGTTTAAAGGTATAAGATAGATTCATGCATGCTAAGTAATTTTGCCCCAAAATTTCTATTTGCTGTATCTAAAAGCGAATCGAATGCACGTTTTTACATCACCTAATACCGCCATATCGTAACAAAACCGGATTATATGCATTAACTCGAACATCCAACATTGATGTATTCTAAACTTTGCCACTTTGTATTAAGGTCGGGCTCTGAAAGTAGCGTTCATATGTAGGTGAGTCAGAATGCGCCCGAAGTTAGCCAAGCGGAAGCCGAGATAAGTGCAGGCTTTAATCTAAATAGCATCAACCTGGCTTGAACACGGTACAGTAAACTTTCATTAATATTTCCAACGTTACGTCTGACGTGTCTTTGATTAGATATCAGAGAGTTGAAACATGATCTTTGTTCATTATTGCGAACGATCCAACTGGTCTAATCTAAAACATATAATGTATTCGTAGAATCTTTGAAATTTACAAATTGTAATTTTACAATCTTCTTTTGTTTGTGATGCCATCAATGTAGCCATGTATATATTGTTGGTCTATTAGATTCCCAAATTCTACTAAACATATTTGGTGCTGTGGATCATGTCTTTGTTCTTATCGCTTATATAATAATATATTTTTCAGATGGCTATAACACAGAAAGAACTTTAGCTTGGGGCGATGAAATATGAAATGTTGCATTGACTTTGGCGACCACGTTGTTCAGCAATGACAGACCACAGCCACGTAATTTAACCGCGTACACTAGACATACACAGTAAATGGAAATGTAACCATCGTCTAGTGGTTCTAACAATTTCAAATTACTATTGTTTTCATTCATCGCCCGACCCTACTAATTTTAAGAAGATACACACTTAACTCTCCCTCCAATTTTTTGTCTTTATTGAGTGAGTGCTTTTGATTCAGTGTGTTATTTTCGCGGAAACAGACCAGTACATCGCATTTCAGGTACGATACAGTCAATTGCCTATTTAATTCATTACTAGATGATGACCGGTTTTTTTTTTTTGATAACGCCATCTTGTTGTGTCTTTAAAGCGGTTAGTTGCCCTCAATTAAGAAAAATAGTATTATTATTCGCCAATAGATGTCGGGAAGAGTTGATTATTGAAAACACGAATAAAACAACATTTTCTGAAAATAAATCGTGGCTAGATCGATTTATCGCCNCGGGAAGAGTTGATTATTGAAAACACGAATAAAACAACATTTTCTGAAAATAAATCGTAGCTAGATCGATTTATCGCCCCCGAAATCCCCTGTATACTAAATTTTATGAAAATCGATAGAGCCGTTTCCGAGATTCAGATTATATATATATATATATATATATATATTAATATACAAGAATTGCTCGTTTAAAGGTATAAGATTCGTCCATATTAGTATCAAAATCATATTTGTAGACGAAGCTTTCAATACGGTAAGCTAAAAATCCTAAAGGAATGCTCTATGTTGCGGAACCACTGAAAGCCCCTCCATATAAATTGTGTGATTGTTACACTGCTACACTTTGAACAATAAAAGATACTCACTTACATTCTCGGCCGCGTAAAGATTAAGAATTTCTGTCCAAGAAAAGTAGTTCATGCTGGATTTAGTCCAAGACAAAGGTATTTAATAATTCGGGTTATTCGGAGCAAATCTATGTGGGTCGCAGTGACTAGTGGGCTTATAGTCCGACCGCCTCCCGATTTCGATAATATCATAGTTTCACACGAAAGTAAGTATTGTTACTTTACAAAACTCACCTATAAAATAATATGTATGCAACATAATGTAGCAGCTGTGAAATTCAGAAGGAGCTTAGTGAAAACTTATGTACAATATGGCGGCCGAGCTTATCCGTGTAGGATTACGGAAGGGGCGAAAAAGGTCTAAAAAATTTAATGTTTCAAGTCACTCTTAAGCTGACAGTTCAATTATATAATAATATTTATTATTATCAAACTACGATATTGTATTGTTGAAACAATGAAAAAACAATAATGAAATTATAGAGAAAAATAATTAAAATTATGAAATTTAAAAGAAATGTGTAAACGATTGAGTGATTTATTTATTTATGTTATGTATTTTACTGGTGGTAGGACCTCTTGTGAGTCCGCGCGGGTAGGTACAACCGCCCTGCCTATTTCTGCCGTGAAGCAGTAATGCGTTTCGCTTTGAAGGATGGGGCAGCCGTTGTAACTATACTGAGACCTTAGAACTTATATCTCAAGGTGGGTGGCGCATTTACGTTGTAGACGTCTATGGGCTCCAGTAACCATTTAACACCAGGTGGTCCATCTAAGCAAAAAAAAACAGTAATTTATGGAAAGACAAAGACAAGACAGCCAATCATAATATTCCGGTTTCCTTGTAGGTAATATATTTTTTTATTGTTTTGTAGCTAACTTTAGTAATCACTAAATAAAATTATCGAAACATTAAATTTTAAAATACCGCAGATAGGTATGATTTTCTTCAAGTAAATATACTCACTTGAGATTATTTTTATAAGCTTCTTACACAATAGCGTATTTACGTATTGGCTGTTAGTAGGGCAAACTATAAGCCCAGACTAGTAGGGACCATCATCCTGTCAATTACTGCGGCCAAACAGTTGTACGTTCTGACTTGAAAAGTGGAAATAGCCTCTATACAATTCCAAAGAGACATTGACTCCATGATCCAAGGCGGCGCATTGATTTTGTTATCGAACGTAGCTACGTTCTCCCCCTTTTTAATACACATTCAATGAGTTCAATTAAAATCTAATGTTAAAATTTCAAGTCATTACACTGGTGCTAGGTCCTCTTGTGAGTCGGCACGGGTAGGTACCACCGCTCTGCCTATTTCTTCCGTGAAGCAGTAATGCGTTTCGGTTTGAAGGATGGGGCAGCCGTTGTAACTATACTGAGACCTTAGAACTTATATCTCAAGGTGGGTGGCGCATTTACGTTGTAGACGTCTATGGGCTCCAGTAACCACTTAACACCAGGCGGACTGTGAGCTCGTCCACCCATTTAAGCAATATAAAAAAAGGCATAATTTAAATATTTTCCCTTCAAATTTACTAACGCAACTCGCCTTTGCAGTTGTTTTTAAATTTAAACAGATAGAGGTAACTCTTTAATGCACCTGTGTCTTCCCTAAAAGCCCTCATAGCGTATATCCAGCGTCAACTTTATTTTTAATGGAGCCGCGTTAGCGTAATGGAAGACAGTATGTCAGTATTTCATGCGAAAATTTTCATGAATAAACTAAAAGTTTGTTATGAAGCTTTTAGGGCTTCCAACTTTAATTTTGAAAGCTTAGGTAATTGATTCGTCTGAAAAATATTTACTGTTTTATTTAATTTAAAATATTTGTAATTTTGTAATATTAAATTTCAAGCCAGATAGATTAAAAAAAAATGATTTCAAACTAGATATTAAGTCAAGGCAAGATATTATGATATTAAATTTTAATTGTCCACGTACAGCGTATATTTAAATATTCAGGTGGGTGGTGGCATTTACATTTTCATGTCTATGGACTCCAATAACCACTTAACACCAAGTAGGCCTCCAGCTCGTTCAATTGCATACGCAATTTAAAATTATTACAAGTTTTTGAGCTTTGGATTTCTTCACACGGTTTCATCGTATTTACGAATGCTAAGGCAATTTTACGACACCTGTGTTTTCTGAGTTTTTTTTTCTTTTTATTGCTTAGATGAGTGGACGAGCTCACAGCCCACCTGCTGTTAAGTGGTTACTGGAGCCCATAGACATTCACAACGTAAATGCGCCACCCACCTTGAGATACAAGTTCTAAGGTCTCAAGTATAGTTACAACGGGTGCCCCACCCTTCAAACCGAAACGCATTACTGCTTCACGACAGATATAGACAGAGTGGTGGTACCTACCCGTGCGCACTCACAAGAGGTCCTACCACCAGTAGCTGTATTAGGGTTTAGCTTCCCAAAGAATAGATAACTACTTCATAGTTGAGTCGTGAGCTCAATCGCCCATGTACGCCAATTAACAAGAAATTACACGCCATTATCAACTCATAAGCCCAAATTAATACTACCTGTATTCGCTAATTAACTTCGACTACCACTTCAACGGAACTAATGTACCAATCGCAGCTAATTAAACAGAACGTGCGCTTCAATTAAAGTTTATCGTTAGCTTGTCACTTAGTACAATTTGAATCGAAGATCAAAGTGATTAGACTGAATAACAAGATGCTCGAGTTAACGACTTGTTCTCATAAATAAATACAGCCATTAAACGCTGTCACGGTACGTCCTAGTTATGAATTCAGGACATTTCAATGACCTCCTCCAATTTTAACGCTGGAGCGAACGAAATTTTTTTTTAGAAAACTGGAGTATCACAGTTCCGGAGGAAATATTGGGGTTTTATTAATATGTGTACTTTTTTTGAGCACTGCATCGGATCTCCCGGAATATTTGAATTTGCCAAGTTTAAGAGACGGTCCAGACCTGTGTCTAACGGTTAAAATTTCAGGCGTTGCATGTACATTGGGTCCACGAGCTCACTATTCATCTGGTCTGGCCCATAAATATCAATCTTTTTCTTTTTATTGCTTAGATGAGTGGATAACCTTACAGCCCAACTATGGTAATCGCATGTGAGTGGTTACCGAAGCCCATAGACATCTACAACGCAAATGCCGCCACCTATCTTGTGATGTGGGTTCTAAGGTCTCAGTTTCTACAATACAACGGCTTCCCCACCCTTCAAACTGAAACGCCTTACTACTTCACGACAGAAATAGGTAGGGCGGTGGTACCTAACCGCGCGGACTCACAAGAGGTCCTACCACCAGTAAATTATTATTATAAGAGAAGATTTTGGAACAGTGGAAGCTTACACAATATTTTGGCTTGCGATTTTCTCAACAATTTTTTTGTTTTTTTTTATCAGCGCTGATGGCAACTACGAAGTGACGATAATGACGAAGGCGATCCTCCACCACGACGGCAAAGTGGTCTGGAAGCCGCCCGCCATCTACAAGTCCTTCTGCGAGATCGACGTTGAGTATTTCCCGTTCGACGAGCAAACCTGCTTCATGAAGTTTGGTTCTTGGAGCTACGACGGGTACATGGTGCGTTATAATTAATTACATAATATTAACACAATTTTTAATTAAATTTGTCGTGTTTTTTTTTTATTGCGTAATTTCGTGAACCAACTCTTTTTTTTCTTTTTAATACGCTTTTATTAGCTTTGTAACGGAATCTTTGAACATGATTTTGGCCTGGCTTTTTGAAGGGTGGGGCAGCCGTTGTTACTATACTGAGACCTTAGAACTATATCTCAAGGTGGGTGGCGCATTTTACGTTGTAGATGTCTATGGGCTCCAGTAACCACTTAACATTAGGTGGGCTGTGAGCTCGTCCACACATCTAAGCAATAAAAAAAAAAATAAAAAAACTCGAAGTTTGGTATACTTATTAAGGACCGATGACAATTCAATATAAAAAAAATTTGCAAAAAGTTTAAATTCAATTAAAAAATAATAGTTGAAAAATTAACAAAATACGCTTTTATAGCAAAATCAACTAAAAAATAGAAAATAAAATTTAATAAATTTGAATTATTCTAATAATAAAACAGTATGAATTTAATATTTTGTCATCTTGTTTGTTTTACCAGTTAATGTTAACCTACACTATAATTTCCCATTGGGAATGTAGAAAGTTAGCTGGCATCATCTGCTTCCAAACTTCTATAAATTGAAGACATTCTAAGTTGGCAGATGAGCCTAAGCCCATTTCTAAAGATGCCTTAGATATTTTAGTCTTGTTGCTTATTTTGTATTGTATAAAAAATTACTTTATCCTGTAATATTGGAACGCCTATAGCATTATTGCAAGATAATGTAGCAAAATTTTTCGATAATAACCCAAAGTCGAGTCAGATGCCTCCTAGCCATACAACCTTACCGCTCTAAAGATAAGTTATTGAGACAAACACGCAAAGAAAATAATGAACTTCAAAAGAATCTGCGTACCTACTTAAAACTCACGAAAAACCGCAAATTTACCACGCTTTTATTAGCTTGACCTATATATATTTATCCTTGTTATGAAATCTTTCAACGCAATTCTCTCCAACAACGTAACCTCTGAGTAACCTGAAAATTTTCCACACGTATCAAGGACCAATCTTAATAACGTTATTACTTTGACCTACTCTTACCAAAATTACTAGGACATAGAATTAAATCTTAAATCCATTCTGCTTTTAAAGAGTGTTTATTTTAGATTTATGCTACCTTTGATTAAATACAAAATACATATTATATTCTTTTAACAGAAAATAAGATCTATGAATACTCTTATCCGGCGTGTGGTTAATAAATTTGTCAAGCAACTACGCTTTTAAACCTAAACATTCCCATCTAGGATATCTGATGAATCTTTATAGCCGGACATATTGTATAAATGTTTCTGTAATATTTTATAAAAAACAGATAATTTTTACTTTAAAAAAACTCAACAAGGGACTAAAGTTATAATAAATTTCATGGAAAAAATTTGCACATTCCACGGAATTAAAATTTTCAACAAAAATATGCCCGTCTCTAGCATTTTCCTTGTCGGAAATATGTCATAAACATTTTACCCAGTAAGGCGCGTTCCACAAAAAAATATATTTTTAAAATATGAATTTATTTATCCAAGACATACCATACACAGAACCTGTGGTAATGTCAAATAAATCGAAATATGCCTATGTATATTATGCAATATGCCTTATTTTCATTAACTATTAATCCTTAAAATGTAAGCAGTTTTGTTATATTATTTTTATATACCTACCTATCGACTATTTTGACATAAAGAACACAGACTACATATCATTATGTAGTGCTGAACTACACATAAACCTTGATTTTGAAATTATTTAAAATTATTTGTGTTTATTTCTAGAATTATTGTTTTCTGCATTCTAAGTTCAACATTCTCCTGCCCTTCTTCACCTGGGGTCGGTGCAACATATTTTCTCCTTTCATACTCCTCTGTCATATACCATTTCTTCGCTCACTCCCATTTTACACATATCGACCTTCACGCAATCCATCCGTTTCCTCTTAGATCTACCTCTTCCTCTGTATTCTAAACTAAACTATAAAATATTCCGAATCAGTTTTCAACATAACACGGGGATTAAAACTAAACAATCCATTTAAATAAAGAAGCCGATAAATCTGCGGTTTCTACATTCACATAAATAAAGACGCAGTCTACGTTTGAGCCTTATATCAATGTGTTAAGGTTCACGAGGGAGCCCTGTTCCCTATCTCGGTCCCACCTTAGATGCCCGTTTGAGATAGCAACAACATTTATTTGTAAGGTTACGTGTGTATGCTTTGATTCCTTAACAAAGAATAGCAAAATCACACGACACACACAAAAAATTACACGAATCTTTTTCAAAACGATACCTTCTAGCTGCGAACGTTTGAATATCACTATTGAGGTTTTTTTTAAACCAATAAAATATTTAAATCAAGATTTAAAAGTAAATTTATACTTTTGGTTCGTTTATTAAAACTCTATTGAGTATTATTCATGAAGATAAATTATTATCTTCTGCGTTTATTGGTATACTCACATACTCATTTTTAATAAACTCTTTAAACATAGTGACAATTACAATATTATTATATATAGATATTATTAAATATTATTCGATAAGAATTTTGTTATTATCGTTTCCAAATTAAAACATCGGGGTCACAACTGTCGACTCAGTGCTTATTGTACAGAGCGTGTGTATTTTGTAGTGTGATAATTATTAAAAAGACACGACCCTTTGCAACCTGTTTTTTGCGCGACTACTCGACACAGACTAAACTAAACTAAGCCCGCTACAGTTTTTATATTTTTTCTAATCGAGTTTTCTCTTTCAGGTCGATCTGAGGCATTTAAAACAGTCGCCCGACTCGGACCACATTGGAATGGGAATAGATTTGTCAGAATATTACATCTCAGTTGAATGGGACATCATGCGGGTCCCAGCAACGAGAAACGAAAAGTTTTACTCTTGCTGTGAAGAACCATACCCGGATATTATCTTTAATATCACGCTCAGACGAAAAACTCTGTTCTACACAGTCAATCTTATTATTCCCTGCGTTGGAATTTCCTTCTTATCGGTCCTAGTATTCTATTTGCCTTCTGATTCAGGAGAGAAGATTTCACTTTGTATTTCAATCCTCCTATCTCTCACTGTGTTCTTCTTGCTGTTAGCAGAAATTATACCACCCACGTCACTTACGGTTCCGTTGCTTGGAAAATATTTGTTGTTCACAATGATGCTAGTTACGCTATCGGTAGTTGTCACTATCGTCGTACTCAACATAAATTTTAGGTCGCCCGTAACCCACAATATGGCCCCATGGGTGAGGAAAGTCTTTATAGATTTTTTACCCAAAATATTATTCATACAAAGGCCTGAAAAACCACCTGATGACGACGATGATAACGATAAACCCAGCGAGGTAAGAAATATTGGATCTGTTATAAATCACGAACAGTATAAAGCCTAACCATCATCAATCACTTTGTTAAACGATGNTAGGTCGCCCGTAACCCACAATATGGCCCCATGGGTGAGGAAAGTCTTTATAGATTTTTTACCCAAAATATTATTCATACAAAGGCCTGAAAAACCACCTGATGACGACGATGATAACGATAAACCCAGCGAGGTAAGAAATATTGGATCTGTTATAAATCACGAACAGTATAAAGCCTAACCATCATCAATCACTTTGTTAAACGATGTTCATCAGACACTACAGAATGAACCTCTCCAAGTTTTAATTAAATTTGTGATATAAAACCTCTTACAAATGAAGTGCCTCCGTCTGAAGATCTCTTTCAACGAAAAAACAACACGACGCCTTTTCTCGTCGAGTTTCCTCCATTCAAAACATTTTCCATCGGAACGGATTCAATACAAACAGTACTCTATTACAGTCGGCTCGATGCCGCCTTCAACAATAACCATTTTAATTGTCCTCAGCCGCGGGACTCTTCTGGGAAACGCTCCTTTCAACGATATTCTAAATCCATTGTGCTCTCTCTGTGTATCGCGAAAATATCGCTTCCAGCCCAATTTCATTCCATTTCGATTTTCCTTTATTACTCAACGCCGGCGGGCTTAACGAGCGAGCGCGGCCTCCGTTATTTATGTTACCCTAGTGGCTGCGGACGAATCGTTCCATATACGGCGCCGGCAGACATGGCCCCAAAACCGAATCCTCCCACTCCAGCCTAATCGTGTACTGGCTTAAGCCACCTAGATACACTGCCCGAGAAACGTGCCCTGACATTTTAATCTGTGACCAGTTTTCGCTTCCCGCTTTCTACGGCCTCCGATTAATATCTCACATTCATAACGACACTTTTACTGACATCTGAAAATGTCACGTCTTAACGATTATTTTATTAACTAATGAGAACAAGAAATGGTTATAAAATAATAATTTTCAGATACTCACGGATGTTTTTGGCCCAGACGATATGGATGGGAAATTCAAGGAGTGGGGTTGCGAGGAATACGATTTACCGGGGATGCCCCCTTCACCACCACCTCCTCCAGGAGGGGACGATGAGCTGTTCTCTCCACCTCCAGGATCCCCATGCCGTCTGGACCTTGACGATGGTAGCCCTTCTTTAGAAAAGCCGTACGTCAGAGAAATGGAAAAAACTATCGAAGGTTCTAGGTTTATAGCGCAACACGTCAAAAATAAGGATAAATTTGAAAGCGTAAGTGATTTTCAAAAGCAGTAAACAATACATTTACAATAATCTTGATCTGTGGCTCACATATAACTATTTATTTGCAGGTTGAAGATGACTGGAAATACGTAGCGATGGTTTTAGACAGGATCTTTCTATTCCTGTTCACGATAGCATGCGTTCTCGGTACGGCGCTCATCATATTTAGAGCACCAACGTTCTACGATAATACGAAACCTATCGACATTCTATACTCCAAAATAGCGAAGAAGAAGTTAGAGCTGCTCAAAATGGGCTCAGAAGGAGACCCCGGTCTCTGAAATTCGTCTTACGTCTTCGGCCACCCGCCGCCGAAGACGTTCTGGGAGCTCATCGTTATGTGGTGGCATGGATGATCCATGTAAAGCTTCCAGCCAGGAACTGCTAGGCGAGAACTTGTCGTGCTAAGTGCGGTGCGTAGCCCCCGATTCGCTTGTGAACGTTTTCGCGTCGCGAGCGTTGCAAAAGCCGTCTTTTGTACAAATCGTACTCTCACCCGGAGACTGTATCCGTCGATAATTTCAAATCGAAGATACTAAAGGACTCGGCCGTTGTGTGTTGACGCTGGATCTGCCATAAATATTTTTTTATAATAGTATCGGTGTATTCAAGATTTATACTTACGATTACGACTATATTGTTTTTACATATGTATATTTCGTTTTTCGATTTTAATAAGTTCATATTATGAGCGCACAAAAATGTACAGTTAACATATTTTAAGGTTTGTGTTTTTGTTTTCGTGATGGAACGCATTCAATTTTTTGTATATCAAAATATTAAACTTGGAAAAGTTGTTTAATGTAAGGTATACTTCGAATAAATCGAGCTCAAATATGTAATGTTTAAGTAAGTTTAGTGTTGTAATAAAATAAACATTTTTAGTCTCATATAAATTAAATGTTTCGTGCAAACGTCCTCAATGAGAGCCGGACATAGTAGATGTAATATTGTGGAATAAATAGTATTGAATATATAATTATCATATTTGATATCTGCGTACTCGCGTAGAAAATAAAGACAATATCGAGAAATTGACGAAATCTGTTAATTATAGATACCCTATAACTTTAATATAAGGGAATGTAGATAAATAAAACAGTATCGCCTAGTCATCGATATGATTAATTAAGTATTGACACATTATCATATTGCCAAGGTAGGTAATAGTTTCACGTCGCGACGGTGATATTATTTAACAAGATGAATATGTAAAAGACAATTGACTGCCAATTGTAAATTAATTTTTATATTATGTAAAGATCGATATTCTTAGATAGTTCGGTAAAATTGTTTTATTAGATTTTTTATACGGTGTGCCAAGTTTTGTCATTTATAATGAAGCAGTTATCTTAAAGGACTCGAACTAATTAGGGGCTAATTTTCGTAACAGGACTTTTGTATTTTGCTTTTGATATGCTCAGTTAGAGATAAACTAATGCTTGCTAAACAAAGGACTGAAGTATCTCTTATAATTTACTTCCTGCCTGATGCTGATGCTATTATTGAAATTCACTTTGTCTTCACTATAGTTTATATTACATTTAAATCACGAATAAATCCTAGAGTACAGGGTAAATTTAGTACACGGATATCTTCTGGTTTATATTTCTCACAATTTTTCACCAAAAATTAATATCTTTGTAACACTAATCAGCACTTTGCCAACATCTTTAGGTAATAATATCGTTGAGGTTTGTGACTTGTTGTGTAAATTACTTAGTGGCACGTTTATTTATATATTTAGACTAGTAGCCTTTTAGGAATATAATTAAGTTCACGATTTTTGTTCATTCGTAACTTTCTTAGATTAGTGTATTGTTTTTTTTTTTTGGTAATTTAACCTTTTACCTCCTTCGTACCCATTTGTAGGGTAATGTAGCAAACTTAATAATATTAATAATAATAATAAAAATTTCGAGCCGCGTATTTGATATGTCAAAGTAATTCATGATAATGTGTATTAGATTATTACTAAGATAACTGAATAAATTATTGATGTTTAATTAAATTTCACAGCGAGCAGATAGGAAAACAGGGATGGATATTGTAAAATTATTCTGGGGAAAAAAATAATGTTTTGTGTGGTGGTGGGTTCGACTTCGTAATTATAAGTGTTGTTGAATATGAATGGATTTGGGGAATGCATTCACTGTACTAGTTTAGTGAATTATTGAAAAATGTAGCTTAATATGAGGACTTAAGGATGTAGAGAAAGAAGCTCGCTAAAAGGTTGAAAAAGAATTAGCTTTGTCAGTTTCCGGAGACAATACTGACCTTGAAATGGTTGTCGATGGAATTTTCGCGAAGGAATTGTAGGTGACGTAATATTTCTTAACATACACACACACACTTTATTTGATAAAACGATACAAAGTAGGAAAGTGCTATTGCACGCAAAGAAACACACCAATTTAGAATTTAATTATGTACTATTGGATAATGTTTGGTTACATTCACAAGACTTCCGTCATCATCCGAACTCTGTTCTAGATTCTAGACTTCCAGTGGTCATTTCATATTTTGTTGGAACACCACAGAACTGCGAGGATATTTCAAGGATAGGTTAAGTCGATTTGTTGAGTGAACAAGTATGACAAAGGAAGATGTAAGAAACGTCACGAGCGTGTATGTAAAGTATTTGGGGAATTTTGTGGAAATGTGAAATCTTTAAATGCACTTTCTCTTATTTATCTTAAATTATCGTTTACGAATTTCATAACTAAAAGAATTGTGACAAATGTAGAATATATAAAAAGTGTGCTATTATTAAAATCTTTGAAACTGGAAGAGCTATGTTGATACAACGACCCAAGCAAGACTTGGTAACACGGTAATTAAAAATAATATTACGACTTTTTTTTACAAATACTATATTAACACTTCAAGTTACTATAGACGTATACAGTGGGCTCAAACTATTGCTTCATTTAAAAAAATGTACGACAGTTTAAAAATCAGTATTATTATCCTAATTTCTGGCTTAATGAAAAAATCAAAATTATGTTCACGAATCGTTCTGAAAATTCACTGTACTTTTATTTATTAAAAACGAAACTAATTATGTAAATTGTAATTAGTTAAACTGTCGTGTCATATCAATGTTTATGTAAATACTTTTATATATTTAAGTACATAACATTTTATTATAATAACACTGTCAAAGTTCAGAATCTTCACTCACGAACTACTCACCTATGATTTCGGTTTGTTTCATATTCAGTTACTGTCTAAAAGACATGTTCATCTAAAGTTCCGTTGCTGCTTTATTGTTCATACAAAATCTAATTTCCAATTTATGTTTCTACCTACCTGTTTCTCGTTAATAGCAGGAACCGCGTCTGGATAAATAGCTTAAAGATTTGGGTGATAACTGGGTAAGGAATGTAGTGTCATTTATATTGTCGTAGATAGGCTATGAAAATATTAAAAATAATCACAGAGGAGCTAGTGTTTATCGTGATTAAGATAATATGATTTTAGTATTAAGGAAAAATGACTTAGGTTAAATAATTAGCTTTTCAGTGTTTTTAGAGTTAGTCGACATATGGGTTAACTCGATAGCTCGCTGTTAGATAAATTTGTTATGGTTCTATCTGTTTGTTTGTTAGATTCGATATACTTTAGATTTATGTTTGTTATCATGCTTTGTTACAGAACAAGGAATCGTTTTTAATGTTATTTCATTTTGTATTTGTAGTACATAGTTTTTTGGTAACGTTACGACTTTAAATTTAATTTGAAATCTACTAGCATATTTGGACATTTGGACGAAAGCCCGATTGTCGAAACTGGCGATCCAAAATTTTCTTGGCACCAAAATTTTATATACCAGTCCTCGAAAAAAAAAAAAACATGGTCGAATATTAGAATTTAAATACAAAGCTCACTTAAATCTCAATTGCAAATAAAACAGGTTTCGCGGTCTAATCGTGAGCTACATTTTCTTTTCACCATATGATCAGCGAAAATTCGAATACTTGATCGTCCGTGAATGACCACGAAAACTATAAATGATAAAATTAAAATGATAAACGCAAAATCGAACCATAAATATTAATCGCGACCCCTAATATCTAACAGTTTTGTTACATTTATTCTTTGCATTAACAATTAAAATTATTTTTACATTTATTTACTATAAATATATTATTTATTCCTTTGGTTTTTAGTGTTTTAAGTTGATAGCAGATTTGTCTACCCCGGGTTCATGGGGTTTCGAACTCATAGTCAGCTATCACATGGCTGTCAATAACTTTAAGGATGAATACACTGGAATGTTGACGTGTACATATAGTCGATCAACATGTTAAGTAATTTTATATAATCGACAAGTTATTTTTCTACATTAATTTCGTGTCTATATTTAATGGTAGTGCCGTAGACGTAGTTGAGATGTTTAATATTAACGTAAGAAGTTCTTATTTGTATTTTGTTTTAACTTTTTTTTTTTTTGTAATCGGTGCGTTTTTGTTACGGATCATAAAAATATTTGAATTTGGCTTTTGCTTGTTGTAACGAATACAGAGATAATTTGTTTTTACGCAGTCATGAAATTTTGAAGTAATTAATATTGTAATAATATTAACAAGAGGATATTTAAATCGTTCTGAAATACCTACATCTTATTTATACCTTACTNGTCAATAACTTTAAGGATGAATACACTGGAATGTTGACGTGTACATATAGTCGATCAACATGTTAAGTAATTTTATATAATCGACAAGTTATTTTTCTACATTAATTTCGTGTCTATATTTAATGGTAGTGCCGTAGACGTAGTTGAGATGTTTAATATTAACGTAAGAAGTTCTTATTTGTATTTTGTTTTAACTTTTTTTTTTTTTTTGTAATCGGTGCGTTTTTGTTACGGATCATAAAAATATTTGAATTTGGCTTTTGCTTGTACGAATACAGAGATAATTTGTTTTTACGCAGTCATGAAATTTCGAATTAATTAATATTGTAATAATATTAACAAGAGGATGTTTAAATCGTTCTGAAATACCTACATCTTATTTATACCTTACTGATATTTCACAATGTATAATATTAACGAATTGATAGAGTGTGAAGTGTGAACCGTCTTTAATCCAGTTCTGTCTTTTAACCCCAAAACATTCTAAGCTGAATGTTCTTAAATCAAATGAAATAAATAGAAAAACATTCATATTCTCTCCCGTTTAACCTTATCAAAGATGGAACAACCATCACCTCTGATAACGTAACCACTTCTTAACAACCAGTGTTGCGGTGCTCTTTCATTGATATTATTATTTTAAAAGACGCGGTTGACAAAAAAATATTATAAATAAATCGACGACATCACTCAAGAGTACCAGCTGAAGCGTCGTGCGTCATCAGCGAGACGAGTAGAATGCAAATTTTAGGGTAGCAACTCCGTCAAACAGTCGCTTAGACTATTTTGCACAGTAAAATGGCACTTTGAGAAATTCGTTACAGTCTTATCTCTAGATTTGAATATTTTTTTATATTATACATACATAATTCTCCATATTTATAACCAGACTCGTCAGAAGAACAAGATTTCGTTATTCATTCATTTATATGTGTTTTTCTTTTCGGTATATTTAAATAGTTCAATCTACCATAGATACCATTCAATCTTCACCACAAATGTTTTTAACACTTTTACATTATTTATTATCGTATTTATGGTATTTTCGATATCGTTAGTGAAGTGTAAAAGCCATTTTTATGATCCGAAATGAATGTTAACGAAGATCGTTGTATAAAAATTAATTCGGTGGTATCTTTGAACGAGAGTAATCCGTAACGCTTTATAATTAGGTTCGATCGAAATGTTATCTAGAATAAATTTAACAAAAAAATAAAATAAAATTATATCACTTTTAACAATTGCTTTCGTGCACATTCTCGTATTGTTTGCCTATTTTTAATTTTTTTTTAATTAATCGATTACTTAAATAAATTTCATTATTATGATACTCGTCTTATAAGTAAATATTTAATTAATTAATATGTAAGTTTAGAGATTGCCACATTTAATCGAACGTCTTCCAAAGTGACGTAAGGTATTATGTTTATTTGCTCATTATTTTAAGTGAAACTTTATTAGTATAGTTAATATTTCCTCTTCTCGTGTTAACGTCCCATATTTTTTCATATGGAGGGTTCAGGTTATGATATTCTGGGTTTTAGATATTTCATGAGGTCAATTATATTTCACGACTGTTACTCGATTAGGGATTTACGTTTTCGATTCTTTATGTTTTTTTTTTTTTTTAAATAAGTAATACGTGACGTAGCGATTTATATTATAGATAATAACGTAAACAATAGAAGAGCTCATCCATAGCTTTTGGTTATAATAATAAGCTTTCTCCTTCAGTTTTTTCATAGAACTTTGATTGGCTACTTTTTAAAAAGAGCTCTGAAGCTCTGAAGAGAATCCGTTGCTGTAGTTGGTGGCTTCCCTGTATTTCTTGGCTGATTTTCATGAGCGGCGGTAATTTAGTAGTTTTGTTTAATTTAGCATAAAATAGTGGAAGGTTTTATACCTTATACCATTTACCTAAAGTTTTCTAGTATTATATACAAAACTCTCTCCGTTGGACCTGTTTTTTGTCATGAACAAACATTTTAATTCACTTTGCAATTATTTTCGAAGATAGATTAAAATTTATCGTTTTTATTTATTTTTAAGGCCTGTTAATTTAAATGTCATGACAATCTATTCCCATCCTTTCATATTACTTTTTATCCAGAATTTCAGACACCCGAACTTGTATCCTGTAATTTAATACGTAGCTTTGTTTTGAAGCTATATTATGTCTATAGAATACTTATTAAGGTACTAAATAATATATTTAATCAAACATACTTGTATATATGTAGAGAAAACACGGAAAAATTTGCGTTGAGCTTCCAACACGGTTAGGTGTAAATAAATCTTTTGAATAGTATTCCACTATCTTACTCTGAGACTATCCATTTCAAACATGTTTTTCAACTGAAGAGGGATTTAATCGTGCCAGATTTTTTTGACGTGACAACGTCTTATAATTCGTAGGAGCCGGCTGCACGCACGAAAAACCATGACTCATTGAGGCGTTCCATTTAAGGCTTGAAGTGCAAGTGAGAGCGCGCAACGAGCGACAAAGAGGCACAATCGGCCTTCGCGTTCGGCAGCGTTCGACATCTGTCTCTCTCCTATTTGAGTGAACGATGCATCCGCGTGGACAGCTGCTATACAATAATACATTTACGAGTTTTCGTCAAGTATAAAGTTCAGTGAAAAGTGAATGCGGTGTCAATTGTCCATACAAAATATCTATCAAACAAATAAAATTAAAATTTTCTTTTGAAAAATGAAACCATTCCATCAGTATTTTCTTATGACGTTGTCACGTTCAACTATCGTCAGTAAATCGACTTTACAGACAACCGATTTTTTTAAATAACCTACTTATCTTTGAAGAAACAATGCATTTTTGAAGATGTTTCAGCATTTATCTTTGTTGACTATAATATGAAGTTATTGAAAATAAATCGCTTGTAATATATAATATTTATTTGCTAGTTCCCCTACCACTGTTTCAAAAGTCAATTTGACGAATAAAATCAATTAAATTCAGTAAAAATAAATCATGTACATGATGAACTAAAAATTGGAATCAAATTATTTGGCATGAGTAAATCCCTTTTAACTAAAAAATACTTTGATGTATATATAATATGAATATTGCACGTTTTGAATGTTTTCCATTGCCCGTAATTAGCGTAATGCGGTTGTTTTAGTATTCTATTTTGTGCCTTATTTTATTAGACGTTTGATGTAAGTACTTTTTTCGTGTCTGTCACAGTGGGATCAGTGTTAAAATTAATTAATTAATTATTGTTTAGTTTTCGAAAGATT